CAGCATGTAGTAGTGCTCCACACCGCCTATTTCCAAAACGGGAAAGGGCTCTTAACAGCGCGGTTTATACCATGTTCGTGAGTGCGTTGTGCAGCCCGACACACACACGACCTCCGTACATTGGGGAGGCTAAGAAAAGCACTGAATTGGAGTACGAAATACTATCGAAGTACTGGATTGGAGTTGCCGAAGTGGAGGAAATCAGCCAGGTGGGGTGCTACTCAATTCGACGGTGCCTTGCGTGAGCTAGGTCTTATTTTTAAGAATGTGCTCAAATGTGCTTTGCATGAATTTCTTCTTGCGCCGCTGTCGATTTGCTGTCGTCAGTGTTGGCCGAAACTGACAACGTTAGACTTCAGCCGTGGCTGAAACTGGCAGCGTGAGGGAGACCGCAGACGGCGTGGGCAGAGACCACAGAAGGCGTGGCGTGAGAAGAAGAGTTATGACCACAAATGTTGAAGCCGTGCTACGCCAAACATATCATCTGATGGAATGAATCATAACGCACCGAAGCTGCTTGTTGACCAGAACTGTGCCAAAGAACTGTAATGCAAAATTCATGATCATGCCAACGAATTTGCACGCCATCGATTACGTCACCACGATAGAGACAAGGAGAGCTACCTACTTGCCTTGTTATGCAAAAATGTATTGCCATCGACAGGCACTTTTTTGTTATAGGAATTGATTGACCTCTGGACTTTGTTTGTGTACCACTTTTTAGATTTCAACGAACAGATTTTGGACACTGCTTTCTCAGGCAAAAGGAGAAGCTAGCGCCTATCTCCTTGATAGCTTACTTACCTTATTGCATAAAAATGAGTAATAACGATGGTCGTGATGATGATGGTGATGGTGATGAGGGATATTGTAATAACTAGAACTGATTTATTAATATTGGCAACTGGACGCACAAAGAAGTGATGAGGCACTAGGAATTGCATGAAGGACGCTGATAAACTGACTGGACATAAGGGACAGAACTCCTGTTGTCCCTTTGTCTCGGCCGTAAAACCGTTGCCGTGGACTTGAACCTGCGGCCCTCGTACAGGGGTCGCCACCCCTGGATCCTGCCTGCCTTCGTCAATATCATCACACTGTGAATTGAACGCATAGTCATTGGCCATCGCAGTCACTTCACAACCTGCTCAGCGCCCTCCCACCGCCTTCCCCATCCCTACCCCAACCCTGGCGAGGCACAGGGTCGCGCCCCTGAGCCTCCGCGCCCAGCCGCAGCGGCCGCGCATCCCCTCCCCCCCCCTACCCCCCCGACTTCAATCTCCGGGCATGCCCGACGAGGCCGAGTACCACCTCCTGGCCGACGTCTCCGGCGGGTCGGAAGGCAACGATTCGAGTCAGGGGGAACAATCGGTGGGGGGCGGGCCGGACGGCGCAAACTGGAGGTCGGGTTTCGTCGCAGAGGGGTCTGAGGAGGTGGCGCGCGAGAAGGCGCGGAGGGGGCTGGATGAGATGGAGCGGAACGCGAGCGCGGCGCGGGCCCAGATCGTGAGGGAGGCGCGGCGGGTGGACGAGGAGGAAGAGAGGATGCGGAGGAAGGCGAGGGAGGCGGGCAAGAAGCTGATGCAGCAAGAGGCGGAGGGGAGGGCCAAGGTGGGCGACGGTGCCGGGCGGGGGGCTGTTTGTGTTCGTCTGTTCGGTCTGTTTTTCCACCTTTCTGCGCATCCGCCTTTTCCCCTTGCTGCTCTTCTGCTCTACTGCTTTTCTGCTTTTCTGCTTTTCTGCTTTTCTGCTTTTCAGCTTCTGGAGTTTGTGTTTTGTACGCAAGGGAGAACGTGTAATGCTGTGGTTCTCGGCCTGGGAAGAATTCTGGGAGGGACTGGGGGCCGGAATGGGGCAGGGATGTTGACTCGGCACAGCGGGGCTTTTCAGGGCGAGACGGTGCCTTGCCATGAGCTGGTGATGCTGGTTGTGCGTGTGTTGTTTGTTGTTCACTACAGTGCAGCGACAACTGAGTGCCGTGCCACCAGCACCTGCCTGACAACTCATATTGTCCATGTCCAAGTGTCAATGCACATCCTAGGGCCAACGTTTCCTTGGAATCAACCAGCAGTCACGAGAAATACGTGGCCCCAAGGGTGGTTGTGCGTGTGTGGGGCGATTGGGTGCGTTTTCATAATACAGCTGACACACAGACACAATCTGCAATACAAACAAATGGGCAGCAGAACGTTTGGTTAACTGAGTGCCTGCCATAACTTCCCACGTGTAAGGACGATGTCTTGCCTGGTGGCTCATTTCTTATCTCAAAGGCACTTTGTGCATCTTGTTGCTGGTCGCGAGGTGCTGGAAACCATGAGGGTGCAGTGTACAAGACCATTGTGACAAACTGGAGCTGGTTTCAATTACCAACAGTGAAACACTTTGTGAATGACAAGTGCGCATAACTGTGCAGGCACAAATGGAATTCAGTGCAAGCAGAGGAAAACCGTGGACATGGCTTGGTTGAGTTGCCATTGGTGTCTTGGTGTTCCTGTGTTTGCTTTCATGTGGCTCATGTGAGGGCCGTTCTCCCAATGACGTGAGCAGCTTAATTGCACTTTTGCATGGTCACTGAGATCCTACAACATCAGATGCACGCTGTGAACACACATTCACGTGCTTCCAGCACCTGAGGAGCTCTGTAGTGTGGTTTAAAAAGGTAGTGGCACTTCCCTCCTTAGGCTTAATGGAAGCTGGTGACTGCCTTAATTGCCTTGATGTGCTTGATGCCCTAGAGTGTTTCTTGGTTGGCTTGTTGGTTAGAAAAGTGAGGAAAGCGGACTGTAAGAATCGTAGGGCAGGTGCTCGTTGTCATGGTGGGGAAAATGAGCTAACGGTCAGGGGGCAGGCAGTTGGTGCGGCTTATAGATTGCATGCATATGAGAATAATTGGCCAAGTGTGCGACTTGCTCAATTTCCAAAGTAGTAGATTTGAACCAGATCAGCACGGCGCTGTGTTGCCTCCAAGCCCTGCACAAGAACAAGCTCAACTTTGCTGGCAACCTGGTCTGATTGAACGTTTTCCTGAAATTGCCCCTGTGTAATAGCCCTTTTGGACTGATGGATCACAGCCATGAATTGTAAGAAGCTTCAAGAAGTTTTGAAATCGCCTGGACTTCTATCATCATCACCATTGAAATACATCACAAGGCGAGGAGGCAGACGTCAGCTTTTTATGTGATGCACCTGTCATTAGGGTGTCAATCAGTATCCTCCATCGTTCCCAACCATTTGTTGGCGCTCTGGCGTCCCCAAGACGCAAGCCCGAAGCAATCGTCTCACTCTTTTGCCTAGAGTCTCACTTTCCCCCACGGTCAATCACATGGCATACACTTGACCCAAAACTGCGCGGGGAAAGTTCTTCGTTTCTTCCAAACTGCTCATTCTAAAACACCGCGCTCTAACACCAGAATTTGGGCAGTACTAATTGGGAACAACCTCACCCAAGCCCTCTGCCATATTTAGGCTTCCTAAAAGCTGCTGAAATCAAACTAAAGCAAACTGTCGTACTTTATTTTCATTTCAGCAGCTATGGGTAATGAATTACCCACATGCCTATAAAATATTCTAATTTTTGCCAATCTTCTGTGATGGTGCCCCTTCAAATGGTGCCCCTTGATGTGCATGCCGAAAATTCACTACTGCAAAAGAGGGCTCAATACTGAGAAAGGGGCAGCCCCAACGCTTTCGGTGCAAAGCTCCCTCGCTAAATGCATTCCACAAATTTCCCCCGCATAATTCCGTGGCGTACATGCTGTACGTACATGCCAATTGGCAGCTTGGGTACTGGAACAGACGAGTATGGAGGTGGTGGGAGTCTTGTATACATCACGAACGTGGCGTCCATGAGCCATGCGCCGCTCATCTCTATAGATCATTCCGGTGGGCATCTCTATGTCGTCGATTTGGCGGCGACAGGCACTTCAATGATTGACGTACTGGGCGTCAGTGGTTCTTAAGTTTTGCGCAGTGTACAAGACAATATGGCCCATTCCTATTCCGGGGCTGCCCATGGGCAATTCGTATTCTCACGTGTTGGGCCTTCGCATACTGGAGCCAAAATCCAGGGTAGGATGCTTTACATGTAGACAGGGCCATAGACGACATGATGTAGAAGCTTACGTACTTTATAAGATTGCGATTATTATCACCCAGTTCCGTCTCGACAGTCAACCAGTGCAAGGCCACACGTATCTTGAGCATTGCATTCAAGGTTTCATGTTCCACGTCCGTTCCTTCGCATCTTGGGTTCTTTACACATCGAGTCCAACCCCTCCCCAAAGCGCGTTCCCTCCCGCCGTGAGTAAATTCACAAAAGAAACGCCATGACAACACTCCACAGCACAAAATGAACACAGCACGCACCAGCGCCAACCAAGGAAACGTACACCTGTATCAAAACTGGCAAAATTCCTTAGCAACCGAGGGTGGCCAATTGACACAGAATAGGCAGCAAAGCATCGGCAGGGGCCCACCGCCAAGTTCTTCTGGGAGACGATGTTCCAAACCCTCCCTCTCGGATGCCCTGCATTGCCGTCCATGGCGCGGCCATGGACAGAGATTGATCAGGCTGCTAGGAGCATCGCCACACGCCTTCGCAAGGGTCGCACAGCCCCGGCCCTTGTCCCCAACGCCTGCATCTGAAAACATCAAATTAAATACTGCAGCTGCCCTACCCGCCCCGCCCATCTCGCCCACGAACCAACACAGACATCATCGCCATGGGTGTTGAAACTTGTCACCGACAACCCCGTCGACTTGCGCTTCCTATCATGAGTCGCCAGTCTTGGCCGCTGCGCCCTAAGCTCCTCTGCTGTGCCACCATCAGTTCCCGCCACCAGTTGCTTCACAATCATGTTGGCAGGTCTCCGCCTTGCCCCGCTCCATCCGGTTGGACGGGCACAGTCAAAGGTACTACACACGCTCGCATACACGAGCCGCTGGGCTACAAGCGATGGGATTGTTTTGGTGCCCACATGTGGCACCAAGGAGTGTAAAAATCAATTCCTCTGTGGAATGGGCAGCCCATATTCGTCCACAGGCTGTGCGGAGACCTCAGGAGCAGAAGGCATGGCCGCAGGGGCCTCTGGCAGCGGGGCTTGGTTGGCCTGAATGTCAACAAACGAGACGTGTGGATATACATGTGATTGCTCGAGTTTCCTCTCGGTTGAAAAACGCCCTGGGAACGCTCCCAGTTGCTGCGGTGAAGTACTAAAGTAGTGACAGATTGCTCAAGAGACCGCAGCTTGCAGAAGAATAAGTCGGGGGTTTGATTCCTTTGATTGCATTTACCATCACAGCACACTGCAGGGCCCTTGCACCCTGCAGGCAGTGGTGGCCACACACATATTAAACGTATATTTCTGCTCATTCGTTCCTCGGGCTGCTACACATGACTGGAGCATACAGCAATAGTGGTCCAGCCGCGAAAGACAAGGCATCGCTGAGAGGCACATTGCACGAGTTAGACGACCCTTCTTTCTGGCTGTACATGCACGCATTGCATGAGCACGAGCATGACCAAGAGCACAACAAGGTTGAGGCTGCTGTTCAGTGTGAACTGGTCTGAGACCTGAGGACAATTGTCACATCATTGGCAACGAGATTCGCGACAGGCGCATTCGGCCGTAGCAGCGATGCCCTCGTTTTGCATAGTCCGGCTAATTCGTGCATTTGCCTGCGTGAACAGAAACCAGCCAGCCTGCCAACAGGAGTTCAGCTCGTTCAGTTAGCAAAGAAGCAGATAGCTGGTGGTGTCCAACTCAAGGGGACAAATGACCTGTCCAAACACACGCCCGTGTTCCAGGTACTTTAGCAATTCTATTTGGACACAGAAGCTGTGGCATGGCATTTTTCCCGGCTGTAGCAATGATGCCTCACAGTGACCCGGGCTGTTGTCGACCACAATTCCGGCATGAAATACACCAGAGCAGCACGGAATCTTTGCATTTGTCCTTGTCTTGACCACAGCTTGCTTTGTTTGTGAATGGGGGGCAAGTAAAAATATGACTACCTTGTCAATGTACCACATTCCCTTGAATCAAGTGGAATCGGCCACTGACTTGTATCACAATGCCAATGATCGCCAGGCATACGGGAACTCCGCAGCCCACTTCCAGAGCACACATCAAATTGCCACAATACAAAGGAGGTCCACCACAAAGCCACCGTGCCAACAGAATGGGACACTGACTTAAAATGCCAAAACTAAAAGAGCAAAAACGACCAATTCAAAGAGTTTCTGTCTGTGTTGAGGTGGTGTCAATATGCTGACAGCAGTGCAAACACATCAGAACCAGTCCGAAAATGTGTCATCTGGACTGTGTTTTGGGAACAAATAGCATCCTTGAAACATTAAACACACGCACCTGCATGTAGGAGGGGACGGCCTCTGCCGGCTGTAGGTCTGACTCCAAGGCCAGGTCGGCCTCCAGGGCGTCCAGCTCATCCATAAGATCTGTCTCGTCGAGCTCCTCAGGCACATCATATGTCCTGCCCAGTGCTTCATTGACCTCGTTTTGCATGTCCTGATGACAAACCGCCACAGCCCATGGGCATTGAGAGGGCCGTCAAGAGACTCGTAATGGTAGGCATGGAAGAAGCACAGATGCAACACTCCTTGTGCTGCCACACTAATGTGCAATTCTTGCTGTGTTATGACATATTGTGCAAGTAACTATTCTTGTCAATTGTTACACAAACACCAACCTAATGCCCCACGCTTCCTTTCTTTTCTTTCGAAGGCAACGGGAGACAAGGTTTCTATCTTCCTGAAATCAATGCACATCATGACTTTGGACACCTAAGCATCACATGAATGAATATACTCGTGACTGGTTCGAATGGCACAAGCGGTGTGCTTCTCTTCGTGAAAGGTGCTGGCATTGAGACAGCACCCGTGGTAATGTGCACAAAAGGCACTGTGGCACCTGCTGTTGAAGTGCAAGGCAAATTGCTTTCGCATCCACTGAGACAACCACAACACAAGAGGTTGGCCAGATAGCATCATGCGAGTGGATTCCTTGATCGAATGAGACGAGGCACGCAACATGACGTCCACGATGCCATCATAGTGCAGAGATTTTCGAACGATGAAGGCAGCAAACAAACATGCACACCATGAGGTCTTGCATGCCGTCCTGCATGCTCTCGATCTTGTCGATGTTGAACTCCTTGGCCTTCATAGCAGTCTTGAGCTCCTTGTGGGCGGTCTTCATGGCTTGCACTGTGCTCACTGTGTCCTTCACACTCTCTGTGGTGAACTGCACCTGGTCGATGTTGAACTGCTGCTGGTACAGCTGGTCTCGCTGCCCCTCATAAAGGCGCTTCTGTTTCAAGATCTGGAGCAACAGCTTGCCACAGTCAGAGGCATGCATGCAGGCGTTCAGCGATGAAGCACAGCAAAAAACAGAGCGCATGTTGATTTTCGTGTGATCCTTATGTAACAAGCTACACACAGAGCATGCAGAACCATAAAACAATTAAGGTATGAAAGAAGTCCAGGATGGCTCAGAAATAATAGAGAGACAAACAAGCAAAGGGCTATGGCAAAGAATAAGATAGCAAACAAGGGCATCAGTGTGCTCGAAGCATTTAGGACAAAATGGTGCGCAAGTTGCTTTGAGAACTGTTTTGTGGACATCGACCCACTGTGAGAGCCCTCTTTTTTGCAGAGTCCTGTGTTGGTCCTGGTCTAGTTCTCTTAATTGCATCTTTTGCCTTCAGGAGCTGTGCATCCAAAGCTGCTATTTTGGCATCAAGCCTGTCCAGCAGTCCAAAGTCAGAGTTTTGATGTCACCAGTCTGAAGTCTGTCAGAGAATGTGCACCAAACCTGCAATTGAATGTGCAGGTATTTTGAAAATGTATAAGATGCAGACACCAAGTATTGTGGATGTTTGATGACTGTGGACAGAAAACACACAGGGTATGCACTGATTGTGAGGAGAATGGACATAGATTGTGCCCAGAAAGTGCAGAATATGTGCAGTTTATGAGCGAGGATGAGCATCAGGCCTTGGTGACTTTTGTCCTCTTCATTCAGACAAGTCGCAAAGTCAGAACAACCCGGGCAATGGCAAGCTGCAAAGCAGCCCGTCGCAGCCCATCGTATCTTGCATCTTATCCGGGCTGGCTGCTACAGGGCCCATGGCAGCCTGTCGATGAGCAGAACTACTGATTTGTCTTGCAAAGACAACTGCTGTCAAAGGCATTTTCTGTCTACTTGGCAACCTGGTGCTTGAAAGACCTACAAGGATGAGGGAGGCTGTGGAGCTCCAAAAGGTGCCATTTCTTAGTTCTGAGCATCGCAGCGTGTGAACAGCACATGGCCAACACAAGCCCTTGGATATATGAGGTAACGATGGGCACAGCAGCATCCCGCAGCAGTTTGTCTGGTACCCCGCGACCTTGCTTGCGCATGTGCCTTCCATTTTTTACAATATGTGTGCAGCATTGAATGGCCCCAAAGAAAACTGAACAATTGCCAAGGTCGAGGCGTGTATCCTCAGAGACCAACCCCAGACATCCCAGGTAGTGCGCTGTGTCAGCTCAACGTCCCAACCTCGTAATGTTGAGCTGAACACCAATGGAGTCCAGCCAGACTGCTGGTCGCCCCGCAACCCCCACCCCCCCCACCCCCCCCTCTCTCTCCCCCTTCGAGGGGGCTGGCACCCTGAACTCCATCTCAAACGATCTTGCCCAAGATGGAGGCCGCCCCAACAATGAAGAAACGGTGTGCCATGCAGTTGGCCCCCCCAGGCTCCAAAACATTCCTTGAGCTTTTCCACACCACAGAGATGAGGCATATGCCTCAGGGCACAGCAGGGAAGCATGCAACAGAAAGTGATCCCACACCAGATATTTGGTCAGCACAAAATGGGGACCCTGTGCCGTCCGGGAGCCAGGATTGGCCACCAAGGCCCCAGGCGAATGCTTCCAGAATCCCATTTTCCGACGTCCACAGCCACTGTCCATTCACCCACAAGGCCACCCAGCTCACCCGGACACTGACATGACAAACCCCAAGGGCAGGCGCCTGGATTTTCTCGCCGCGGAAACCCATTCCGCAGGCCGCTTCGCAACAAGTGGTCGTTCACCACGGCCCCGCTTCACCAACTTGCGACTGGCTCCCCGTCCTGCCATTGCCACTGCAGCCATTACCCGATCGACCCCCGCCCAAGCCCCCCCCTCCCCGAATCCCTGAATTAACGCCAGGCTCCCGCTCGAGGCATTGGCCGACAAGAAAAACGGATCTCGCGCAAATGTGCGGCGGACGGTGGGCTGCCCTTGGTCCGGTCGCCGGCCCCGGGGCAGCGCTCGATGCCGCGGGACGCCGTCTGAGAAGCACATCCTCGCGCTGGGCCACAGCACAGGGCAGCGCCAGCGGAGGCCGAATCGCCAGAGCCCCCGATGCATCTTCGCGATGAGAATCCAAACGAACGCTGTCCCTGGCGGGAAGGCGCCCTGAATGATTCGTCCAGGGCTGAAGCGGAGAGTTTGGTAGCCTCGAGGGCGCGCACGCTGTCGAGGCGCGTCCGAGAAATGTTGGCAAACAGAGGGGAAGGGGGGGGGGACCTGTGGCGGTGCCGCCGGCTTGCCACCCGCGGTATGGTCGGATGAATGCAGTCGGCGCGACTCCGCTCAACGGCAAGGATGGGAGAACAATGCGCCGACACCCATTCGAAAAAATGTCTTCTGAGTGCAGGGACATTCGACGCGGATGGATTGGTCGATGCGCTGTGCGGGGTAGGGAGGCATTCAGCCCGCGGCGCCTTCCACTCACGTGTCTCCGCGGTTCTGGATGTTGCCGCTGGCGTCGGCCAGCGAGGGCGGCGGTGCCTGGTCCTTCTTGGTGCCGAACAGCCGCTTCATGGCCGCTGTGGCTGCTGGACGCCTGGGGTTTGCAACCGGGGTGGCCTGTTGGCGTGGGGGTTCGCTTCGCAGGAATGTGCAGTCCTCGGCGGTGTGCAGCTGAGCGGAAGCGTGAAGGGAAACACTGTTTTGATTTCAGCACGCTTCCACGGCATCACACTGGTGGTGTGACAGCCGCATGGCCCGGGGCGTGCTGAGAGGGACCAGTGCGACTCAAAAGGACCCTCGTATGAATGCCAGAAAAAATGCAAGTCACACCCCATCCGCCTGCGGAGTAGAGCCGCAGCTGCTAAGTCGAAATTATAACCTCGCTAACGGCACCCTCCACAGTTTCGGCCTTGCGGTACTTCGTAACGCATGGGTTCATTCCTCGTCGACGTGGCTTTCATTGCTGGAAATGCCCCAACATCATGGTTATGTTTGGGTGCATGTTGCGTTTTTCAACCCTGGCCTCCATCAAATTTACAACAGACAGAGAACCCTGCCATTGAACAATTTTTCCTTGCTGTTTGGGAGGGTGCCAACATAGTTTGTGTTCATCAAAACCCGTGCCCATGGATCCATGCACTGTCTACCAATACCCAGCAGCCCTGCTGTCCTTTAGTTCTTGCAGTTCATATGGCAACGAGTACAAATCCATGCAAGCCAAGGCAGACAGCGGCGGCGCTGCAGCGAGCAGCACTACACTGTACACAGCTGTTATTACCTCGCAGTTGCATTTGTGCGATGTAACAGGCCAGATGATGTGAACAGTGAATTTCTGCCACAGTATTCAGTTAGGTGGGAATGGGGAAACACTGGCAATATAGAAAATACGCAGGGACAGGACAAACTTTACTGGAATGTGCCAGTCATGTAGGTGTCGAAGGCACAGAACTGCCCACACAGGGGCCATGGAAACAAACCAATGCACGACTACAGACACTCTCATCACTGATTGCTGGTCGTGCCCCACATTGAAAAGAGCCCTGCTTAAAAATCCTTGAAAGGGCGCAATGGTCGCATCATTCTTGCCATTCTCTGTTTCCAGCATATAGGGCAATCTTCAGACTCCAGGAAATTCCACAAGGGGTTATGTTGACCACAAAGTGTGGAGTATGCTTTCTGTGCTAATCATTCGGACTTTGACTGTGGTGCCAAAGCAGTGAATTCGTTTTGGCAAGCTGGCTGCTGCCCACCCATGTTTCCCCTCCTCCCCAATCCAGTGGGCAAGAATCACCCTGAAGTAGCCTGGACTACACCAACCTAACTACAATAGGAAAAGTTTGCAAGAATGCCAACATGAAAGACTGAAAAGGCTGAAGGCAAAGGGCCTGAAAGATTGGCACCCAACATCGCCCGACAGGCGCAAGGGCGGTACTCTGTCGTGCCATTCGACAAGCGCAGTCGAAGCCTGTTTTGACCAGTGTCCTCAACGCGGACGTCGCCCATCAGAGTACTGACACCCAGGCGGGACACCCATCACAGGGCAACCGGGTCACACCTGCCCCCTTTTGCCCCTCCTGCGTCGCCTCCATCAGGCTATCCGTCCCCTTCCCCTCTCGCCATCCCCGCCTCCCTCAAAACCACCGTCAGGTGCGCAAAATGGCGCGGCTGCCCGCCCACCCTGTGCCTCCCCCGCCAAAACGTCCTCTGCCGCACGCTGCCCTCGATCGCCGCGCACTCCTCCACCACCAGCACCTCAGGCGCCAGCCCGTGCCTGTGCCGCGCGTTGGCTGCCGCCGACTTGAGCGCCTCGCGCAGGGCGCCCCTGGCCGCCCGCGGCATCCCCTCGCAGCGGCGAAAGGCATCGGCGAGGGGCCGTCGGATCAACGTCTGCGCCAAAGCCGCCAGTTCCTTGAGGCTCATCCGCACCTGGCGCTTGGTCGCCCGGCCCCTCCGGACGCCATCCCGCCGCGCAGCCCCTGCTTTAGCCTTTGAGGGGGGGGCAATCATCGTTGGGGCGTCTACCGTGTACCATTGGCTTGCCAAAAAGGGCGTCCCAGCCGACATGGCCCAAAAGTGAGCTTGAGAGGATCTGCCGGAGGATTGTAGAAGCTTCCGGTTGGCGACGGAGTGCTCAATCCGGAAATGCGCCAGAGAGACGGCCTGGGAAACCAGGAGACTTGGGCGGGGGTCGCCGGTGGCCCATGAAGGAGCTGGGCGCCCGCGCAGCGACCACCACTCCAGCCACGCGGCTGCCAGCGCCCTGGATCTGATCATCTTCGCCGGGAAGGACGCCGGGCAGCGCAGGCCCTGCCGGCCGCGTCCTGGTTCGAGCTGTTCCGGTGGACGCGACGGTGGTGAGCGCGACGCACGCGGGGATATCGGGCTTGCCGCACAGTGACCTGTCATCAAGTGCTGGCTTGTGCCGGGAAAGTGACATATTGGGCTGCGGGGTGGAAAGGAGTGAATAAATGAACGAAAATCCTTACAAGCAAAGTGAGAAATCGACATAGCGGTCATGTCACGAGTCTCTGCTGCATTCAGATTGTTCATAGAACCAAAAAGAAACGCGAAAGACATGCAAAAACGGGGAGAAATGCTTGTGAATTTCCGGGAACGCAGGAACCTCTGCGTAGCAATTGGGCAAGCAGCCGAGAGGATATGGCCGCATGCAGGATATGGCCATACCCTGGATGTACGCACCCAGGATTCGTAACTTCTCGGACCCCTATAGTGCTGCAAAGCGGACAAGGGCCCAAGCACATTCTTGCCGGGAGATGCTCCAGTGTCCGACTCTCAACGCCCGAGTCGAAAAGAATGCACACGAAATGCAAGCACGCGAATGGAACAAACGCAGATGCACTTACGGAAGGAAACAAAGGATCAAACCGAGCAGCGCCATAAGGCAAGCATATATTCCATTCAGAAAGAAGCAAAAATCCTGTTGAAAAAAGGAACACTCCTGCTATCCCATCCTAGCAAAATAGCAACAGACCATCACCCCCCAGTCGGCATTTACCATGCAAAATCCTCCATCACAGCAAACACCGCAACCAGACGCACAAGGGAGCAGAGAGAAAGCCTTCGAACGGGAGGCCGCCCACAAACTCTTCTTTGAACGGCAACACAATCCAGTCCGTTCTCTTCCACCAGGAAGGGGGTGGCAACCAATCTCTTGAATGTGACGTACTGGGTTGGAATCCAGAAAAAATGAAAAACAAAACAATTCAAAGGGACAAAGCAAAACCCTGGCACATCCACAGAAACCGACCGATAAATAAATCACCAGAGCCTGGAAGAAAAGCGTCCACAACAAGGTAAAGAATTTCCGGCTCCTGTGGACCCCAGGGCCCCTTAGATGTATAAGAACTCCGTGTGGTCCACGGCGTTGGCCGCACCCCGCCTCTCTTCCTCCTCCGCCGCCCTCCTCTCCTTCCGCTCCTCGTACTCCCTGTCGTCCGTGGGCAGCTCGTGCCTGCACACAGGGCAAGAATTCGTGGTCTCCAGCCAGGGCGCCAGGCATCCCGGGTGCAGCACATGCCCGCACGGCAGCGTCTGCACCTCCTGCCCGGGGGCGTAGTCATCGAAGCACACCGGGCAGCTTGTCTTGGTGCCCATCATGGCCAAGCCCTCCTCGGTGACGACCGCGCGGGGCAGCCCGGCCACGGCGGCCTTGGAGGCCGGCGGAGGCGGCGCGGGGCCTTGCGCATCCCCTTCTGCGGCTAACATTCTGAGAACCTCTTCCAATGGGACGTCAGCGGCATCTCCCGGAATGCCATGAGCTTGCAGCCCCGCGCCAAGGTCCATCATCTCGACGGTTCGCCGGAGCTGCTCGTGGAAGTCGGGGCCGATTTGGCCGCTGGGGGTGTCGGCGGGATTGTCCGGGATGGGCGAAGGGGCTCGGGTGGGGTCGGCGGGGTGGGGCCCCGCGGCGGGGTCCTGGGGGGGCGGGGGGGGCCGGGGCTGATTGGTGAGCATCTCCGCCACCTCCGGGACCATGAGCTGGATCACACGCCCGATGTTGGCTAGGGGGTCTGGCGGAGGTGCGGCGTCGGCCTGCGGCGAACAAAGCGGGCTCAGAGTTGACAATCCGAGTAACGAGCGGCGAGCGACGAGCGAGTGACGTCCATTGTCAAAGGCACGCCAATGTGTATGTCGAATGGCCCTGGAAGCTCCGGAAGCGCGAGGATGAGCGCTGAAGTCCCGCGGTGCCCGCCTGGTCGCTCTGAGGCCGGGCTGGGCTGTCCGCCCGGCGCGATGGGTGCCCGCAGCGCCTGGCGGGTTGGGGTGGCACGAACATTCACAGGCGAGGCATGCTCGGCCATGTCTGCTCAGGTAATGACAGTCCCTGGCTATCCGCGGGATGCGGAGCCCAGAACGATGGCCCGCGACTCGGCTGCGCTCCGGGTCGCCGAAAACCCCCGGGCAGCCGACAAGCTCCCCGCCAGCCACTACCGATCTCTTCTGTGCAGAACATGGAGTCCATAAGAGTCCAAATTCCATACGGAGCCCATGGACACAGTGTCAATCACTGATCGCACACAGCCGTCAACTCCGAACGGTCGCGGCCGCACCTCTGTCAGCTGCCCCTCGAACAGGTACGGGCGGCGCTGCTGCGGCCGGCGGGGGCCTTCTTCTGCCGCAGAGGTGCTGGGCCCGTCCATCTCGGCTATGAACGCCTCGGCCCCCCGGAAGTACTCACCGAACTGCTCTTCGCCCGGCATGCCTCTCGCCACATCCTGCGGGCCCCGCCAAGAAATTGTGAGCACCTGTTGCGAGCATTCTATTGGAAGCATTCTTTTCGGGGTGAAGATTTGACGGTGGCCGCAGAGTGCTTGTGGGGCCTCTGCGGGGGGTGCAGTCTAGCGGCCCCTGCGCAACCGGCTGGGTCCTGGCGATCGGGCGGGGGCAAGTGAATCAGAAAGGCACCAGGGGGGGGGATCTCCATTGCGATGGGTATGCCCCTCAGGTCAACGTGCATCAGCGCGACTCCCTTTTCGGATCAAGGCACCCGGAATTGGCTCGCTACCCTGGCGGAATCAAGCGGTCTTCGGGGCTATGGTGTCCTTACCAAGGAGCCTGGTCCGTTTCGTGTGGAAAGGGCAAAAGCCAAGCGGCCTTGCTGACCTCTTTGACAGACCCTCCCTTGCCATCCACCACGGTACTGTGCCACAGGGCCCTGTCCCCATTTCCCCCTCCCTTTCCTCTTTTTGAACCGGTGCCCAATTGTGCACATTCTGGTATCTTTTCCTCCCTCGCAGGCCAAACCCCCACCCGAAAGGTGAGGACACCCACTGCCCAACAATGTGAAACAGCAGACAGGCGAGTCACAGAAGCACGCCCTGCTTCCCCTGCTTCCCTGCAGCGTTCGGCTGGCACCCATTCTCCGCACCAAACCATTTCCCCCCGACCTCCCATCCCTGCGGCCGGCAAAGGGCCGCAGGCCGCCAAACACATCCCCCTGCAGCCGACTGGCCCGCAGCATGCCCGCGCGACGCCAAGTGCCTCCGCGCATCAAATCAAGTTGGTGTCGGCCGCACAGCCACGGGCGACGACAAACACTGCACGCGGTCCCCTGCCGTAAACACCACGTCTTCCCCCCCGGCCCCTCCCCCTTTGCTCGTTGTAGTCCCTGTGTCGCGTGCTCCTCTCGTTGCACAAGCGACTCCTACCATCTCCTCACACCGCGGCGAAGGGCTTCGCGCACACTCGCTCAGGATGGGGCGCCCTTTTACCACCTCTTCCTCCTCGCAACAAAAAACACCGCCCCTCCCTCCCCTCCGCGATTCCCCCCACTCGCCCAAGGGATCAATCGACCAACAAGCAAACTGCCGGCTGCCGCCCACCCAAGCAAGACTCTCGCGCGCACTTACTCAGCAAGGGGCGCCCTTTGCATGGTTTGTTTCTCCTCCTTGTAACAATTTCCTCCTTGCAACCCAATTCCTCCCTGGAACATGCTGCTTCTCCTTTCTCCTCGCAACAGATGCTATCCCCCCCCAGCCCACCTTGGCTGTGGAGAACAGCTGCCTCCCCGCCGTCCAGAACGGCACCGCCGAGTGCCTCGACTTGAGCAACGCGTGCGCGCGGCCGACCAGCCGCAGGGCCTCCCGGCGATCCGCCTCGGGCGCCGATTCGAAGGGCCCCGACAGGAAAGCCTCAAGGGAGCGCACGCCGGCCTCGAAGCTGATCTTCTTGCGCAACTGGGACTCGATGGCGGCAGAGTCGAAGGCGGCCATGGCGGACGGGGAGGGGGCGGGACACCTGTGCGGGGTCTGCCAAGGCCTTGGTATTTATGGACTGCGTCGGAGTGCTGCAGGTGCTGCGTTGCAGTCCATTTCTGCCTGACGGGATTCCGTAGGTTTTCAAACCCTTGCTCATAGTGACGTAACGCTTCATCCTTTTTGCGGAGAAAACAATAAATAAATGAGCAACGCCCTCTTAATAAAATTTTTGCGGAGCAACGTAAAACAACGAAATTAACGCTCTGAAAAACAAAATGGGGAGCAAAAAGTCACTGGGAGAAAAAGGACCAAATAACACTTTTTGCGGACACACATATGTGCATTTCATCAGTGTTCTGCATACTAAAAACACGAAAATAACACAAACCCGTAAACTTTGTACACTTTTTCGAACACGTGCTGTTTGGCCCTTTTTATGTGCATTTCATCAGTGTTCTGCATACTAAAAACACGAAAATAACACAAACCCGTAAACTTTGTACACTTTTTCGAACACGTGCTGTTTGGCCCTTTTTTTTCCTAGTGAGCGTGACAGCAAAAAGCTCCGATGCAGAAGCATTTAAAACCTTATGGTACTCTTCCCGCCCCAGTCCGCACTGGCCAAGTGCGTTATAAATATTCCCGGAAAGTGTCCGCCACCCAAACAAAGCCCAATGACCGCCACAGCATAAATTTGCCTTTGCTTCGCGAATCAAACCGCAATGCTTTCCCCAGTACTTTCCACTTCACCAAATCCACCCTCCAACAGAACTCACACTCCTAGGGATGGGCGGCAGGGAAGGCAAATAGGATGTGTCAAAACTGCCGGCCATTCAACAGATGGAGGTGGTCTGTGGGCGCCACCATAAAACAGGCCGCAGCCGCCGCCCTCCAAAAAGTGCGCCAAGCCTCTCACGTAAACTGCCGGCCGCGGCTCCCTTCTAAAGATTGCCCAAATACAAATATTTGACCAGCCCGTCAATCGCCGCCCTTGGGCCCTTAAGTCCAGGTGACGGCCAGGCAACTGACGTGTTCTGCTCTCCCACCCATGTCTCCCTAGTCAGAAACTCATTAACTGCGTTAATACCCGCAATGCCGAACACATCATTATCAAAAATGCTTACGCACCAAGGCGACGAGGCAGCCACCGGCTCCCCACTTCGCCCAGGCAAAGCAGCGTCCATAACTTGTTCCATGAGAACCTAAGGCGTCGCCACAATCTAACTGCTGAGCTGCCGTGCACTGGAATGCCCAATTTCACAGATTGGGCATCATCAAACCCATTGTTTGCAATTTCCAGCATAGAAGTTCCTGAAATGCCATGGAGCTCGCACTGGTGAATGTGGTACAAAAGCCCCCCCGAATTCGGTGCTTGTCTGCGTTTCATGCCTCCCTGGCCTGGGGCACCGCCCACGCCTTGAGGAAAAGGGACATTCGCGCACACCGGAGGCCCACAAGGAATCCCGTTTGGCAATGCCGCAGCAACGCAGTACGTCGAAGTTAATTTCTTACGTCACGACGCCACGTCCCCATGCAGTTCGATGCCTGGACCCGTTCGCAAGAAAAGCGGTATGGGGCAACTTTTGTCCATTATGGACGAACGGAAAGGTTTTGTTCCCAGATGAAACAGTTTACTTCAAAAAAATATGCCAGGGTGAGAATCTGAGCTCCTTCAGTCTGAAGTCGCGGGGGAAGGCGGTGTGCCATCGCTGTGTCCTTCAGGATAGTACCTTGTGGAGGCTTCAACCGCCGCAATAGGCTAATGCCCAATGCGGACCTCAAGACGAAACGTTGTTATGGCGTTACCCTGCGGGGCAATGAACGAGGTCCGCCACCTCAAACCCTGAATGACATATTCCTACTAGTAGGTAGAGTGGCGGTGACAACGATCGACTGACATGGTCGGAGTTTGGCCATCTGTGGGCAGCCCTAGAACTAAACTGCTAGGATAGGTGATCTTTTTAGGTCAGGGGGCTCTCAGGGGACAACCCACATTGGGGCCATCGCATGCCGCCAGTCCAGGAGCAGTCACAACAGAAAGGCAATAACGGAAAACAGCAACAAAAATAAAGCTGGAGACGTTGGCTTACAGGAACGATGGAAACGTCGCCTGAGCTGTGTCAAGCACTGACTCGACGGCAAGATCACGGCGTCCAGTTCATCTGAGGATCACTGTATTCAGTTTCCGAATTCCACATCTGTCTCCCGAGCTCTTGCCTTTCTGCTGTTTATGCGCGCCTTGTTGTTCACTCATGTCTTGTTGCTGTACATTGCTATCCGGTACTGTCCGTTAGTCTATTGCGCTCAAGGGACTTCGAAGTCAAGGGACTTCGATATCGCCTCCATCGCACAGGGCTTCAGCTATCATTCTGTGGAGTTGGCGCCTGCGCACGCCATGCTTTCTTGTGCTTACATGCTCCACAGTTTCCACCCCATCAGCAAGCCGCTATAAAAGACTATGGGCGTGCCGACATGTGTATCTGCGACGACTCTGTTGCTGTGGGCCCAAGAAGCCGACCAAAGCAAGGCGATCCGGCAAGATCGACAACCTGCATCGACAGCAAGATCGACAGCCCGCACGGACACGACCCTCCAGCAGCGAAATCCACATCTCCGAGACTGTTGTTTCCATTTTCCAGACACCTGCGCAGGCCTCAGCCCCGTGCTCCCAAGGATGAGGATGCTCCCAAGGACGGCTCTTCGCCACTCCTGACAATCGAAGTATCAGTTATATCCGAGAAAGCAATGCTCAGAAGGAACTGTCCTTTGAGCACCCCCCACGTGCCCAACAAATCCCCTCCTAGTGTACAAAGGGACAACTTTGACTTCCAGACAAGGCCCAGTTACTGGCACAAAGCTGTCCACAACGCACAATCCTGGTCCATACCCAACCGTGTTCAATTCCTGAAAATCGTGTATCGGTCATTTGCCACGTGTGAGGATGACACCAGATCGCGCAATCCCGTTTGCATGCTTCTGTGTTGTTTCACCGGTGCTCAGTCCCGCCTGTATCCCCGTGTCAGAACAGACGCCAGCTCGTAGCGCATCTTCTGCGTCATCTTCTGTGTCGATGCGATTTCTTCCAGCACACCGTGCGCGGATGTCCTTGCGATCTTGTACAACTCCTCGAGGCGGGAGGGAACGTCAGACGGCTCCGCTTCATCCAACAGGCCATCTTCGAATGCCACAAGACAGACCACCTGCGCGGAGACGTGTCAATAATTGTGCACCGTAAATATTCAACCCTTCCACATCATGATATTTTACTGTTACGCTTTCTGCTCCACATTTTGTTTCTCAGGGCGGTCTTTTTTATTTCTGCTGTATTGCTCCGCAAAAAAAGGCCAAACGTTGCGTTACCATTCACAAATATTTCTCCGCACAAAAAGGTTTCTCCGCACAAAAAGGCAAAGCACTATGTCACTATTCAGAAGGGTTCAACGGTTTACATAAACGGCTGTTGTCAGCAACACAAGTCGAAGGGCCAGTGGCATGACATTCAATTGTCCGGACACTTGCATAAGCTGCAATACCCGCTACTTGCGGACATTTTGCACTCCCTTGGGAACTGTGCAGTCCTTGGCCCTGGCCACGGACCTTCAGCATTTAGCTGTGCTGTGTTTTCGGGAATTGCATGTTGACGCTGCCAGCAATAGCCAGTACCACATGCACTGGTGAGTCAGCAAAGGAGCGAAAACAGAAGAAAGCATGAGAACAAACAAACCATTGCGATTTGACACTACTGCTGATCTACCAGCCCCCTTCCGAGGGCCCAAACTAGCGCCCCACCCCGCTCCCATCGCAAAGGAGATGTGGGCCTCGGGTCACATTGAAGAAATCGCAAGGCGATGTAATGCCCAAGAAGTTGACTGCACTAAAAGAAATGCACGATGTAGAAGAAAACGTCAGGGTGGGTCAGGTTTGAGTTCGCTGGGGAGGGGAAAATAGGAGGGGGGAACTGAGCTCTCAAATGCAATGCCATATTTTGGAATTTACAAAGCACACGGCACAAAATGACGCAAAAGAATGCAAGTTATTCTTCTTACCTGCTCTTCAATCGATGCAACCTGTCTTGGATTCTGCTGGAACCCAGCGCGCAGCTGAGCAACATGCCGCTCCATCTTCCTATTCAGCTGATCATCCGGATCCACCGCATACTGCTGGGCTGCTCAGACACAAATCATGCCACACCTTGTGGGCACGCACCTTCGCCATTGTTTAGACGAACATTTGGCCATCTTTGCGATTGTTAGAGAGTACGGCACATGTAACAAAATGGGCAAACCCGTCCATTACTAGCACGTCCCATCATGTAGGTCCCCCTGAGAACAATTCTCATTGCAAAGCGTGACACACCATGTTGTTCACCTTCAGCTACTTCTGCAACATTTCTACAGTATGCAACAGATTTTAGTAGAGAAAAAGCGGAACACTACGGATCAGTGTGCAACAGAAAATCAGCATGCAATAATGTGGAACGAAATTGTGGCTGTGGAGGAGGTGCGCGTTTCATGATTTGTTTGGCTTTCACCTTGCCATGACCTCTTCTTGGCACACTTGTGAGTTCCTGGCAGTGGAATTCTACAACTTGTACAACTCATACAACTTCCAGCAGAATTAGAGGTATCGTAGGTTACCAGAATTCACCACATAGAGGTATCCGAGATTTTGGAATGAAGCATACTGAATTCACGTCTTCAGTGCCCCCAGCACATTCCTCCACAACCAACACAAACTCCACATGATACTGTGCAGGCCCTGAAGTAAGAAACTCCAACAAACAGGAAGAACTGTGAGCCCACCGTCAGCGGCCTGGATCATTTCAAATCTGATCTGAGGAGCAAGCATCGCCATAACAGGAGGGTAGGCTCGGGAGCCTATACGAGACAAGCTCTGCTTTGCATCCAGCAGAAGGCTCTGAGAGTCTTTGTCTGGGGGCAGCAGCACGATCTGCATAGCCAACAGTGGAATTAGTCGCTGCTACAAGCATATGCCACAGGTGCAGCTTGTAAATTGCAAAAGACATTTCCTAGCTGAATCTATAGCGAGCTTGTGCTACATGAGGATAGATAAGCAGACTGGGCGCCTTAAGTACATCAAACTTGATATAGATACACTGGTCATGTGGTGCCATCTTGCCGTTTAACGGGGTCACGGGACCACAGGAACCATCACAGAACGTACACAGAGCAGTATAGGACTGTCTGTGAATCAACTAATCAAGACTCTGTTTGTATGAAATTGCGATGAGAAACAAATCCATAGGCGCCCCTGACATTGCTCATGACAATAATTTCACGTGCATCTAGGAATAGCGTTTCTGTGTGTGTTCACATTGTGCTCAATATGCCCACGTCTATTATATTGCGCTGTGAAATATCACATTATCATCGTACAACCATTTGTTCACAAGAACATCTGCGACAAAGTCAATCGCAACAAGTTGCGGCCTGCATGATGCACGTACTTCGGAGTATATGTGTATGCTAAATCCAGAATCACAGAGGCTAACTCCAGAATCAAAGAGGTCTACACATTCAGCAAGACTTTGATCCATCCTTTCGATAGTGGCTTGTGCTCCATGCTTCTGCCCTTTATTATAAGGACAGTCATCGACTGTGCCCTGGGCATGATGCATCAAGTTCATTTGCCAAACTACTGCACACGCTGATCAAAACTTTTTACCCTGCCGAAACGTAGATTAGTGTTTTCGCGTGGGTGGGTGCGTGAGTGGGTGGGTGTGGGGGGACTCCCTGCTTCTTTCCCCTGTTGGTGTAACAGGGAATTACGCAACGATCGAGCTTCGATGTTCGGCGTTGAGGTTTGTCTCAACAATGGAATCAGTGGCCAACACACCACTGGTACACAGGATTTTGTTCATATTGATGGGGTCATGATCAGGGCTGGAAGTCAGACAGGGCAACAAACATGGGATATAAGGGGACATTTCAGTACATTCTGGGACACTTGGGACATTTCGGACATTACCTGACGAACCTTTCTCTGCTTCATGACATTTTCTCTCTTTATGCTTAGGTGTCCCCCGCTGGGACATTGAACGTTCATCGAACACTGATGCTTTTCTTGCACTCTTATTGTATGGGACCCTACATCGGTTGTTGCTGGAAAAGGCTCCTGTTGTGCTTCAAGATTTGGGGGGGTAGCTCCTTGCTTAGATCAGCATGTAACACATTGGAACTCTAAAAAAATACCAATACCGCAGGCCGAGCATGCAACTGCCAGCGTGCGCTTCGTCATCGCCTCTCCAGGCTCAAGGGCCTCATTCTGCTGCACGTTTTGGACAGATTCAACAAACGGGATTTCCAAACAGCACCATGCAGTGTACTTGAAAGGAGCAAGAAATACTGAAAAGCAAACTTTGTGAAGCGCACCAGGAAAAAGGACGTACCTGGCCATCTGCGATGGACATCAATTCTTCGATGACTTCTGTGCCAAGGTCACCAGGGGCAGCACACTGCACGCTGCTGGATGATTGTGCTGTGACGGCCGTCAGCAGTTTGGCTTTCAGGTCGCTGGACAGGGTGCCATACGCCTCGACCTCCTCCACGCTCCTGAACCACGCGAGTGTGCAACATCAATACCACATCTGGCACGATGTAATGAAATCCATAATGAGGTACAACATTGCACACATATACCTGTGACCAGCTGGACCATTGTTGATGATTGCACTCTCTCAAAAAACATAATTTGTACCTCTTTGCCACATGAAGTATGATGTAGTGAAATACAACACAGTACACAATGAAGTGCAACATGGAGCATATAACTACAGCACTGCCACATTGATACCTATGATCAGCTGGAACTTATTTGTACTGAACACAGCAGTTCCTTTAAGTGCTACTTCTTGTACATCTAGTGCTTATTACCTAATGTAGTAAGATAAGAAAAGGCTGACAATACAGTTTGAGATAATTAAGACTAACAACATTGTTTTCGTCCTGCTGCACCTGTGGCTCCATCCAGTCACGATGGTTTGAATATCCCAGTTCATGTTGCACATCCCAAACAAACAAAGCCTTTATGAATGTGCACACCAGCCAACACTTTTCCCTACACAAGCAGGGTCCCTTTTCCTGTATCATTGTCAATACCTGTCAAGGGGCAGCAAAACACTCCAGCAACAACTTGATGTGAATAATGCCTGGCATTGCCCACTTGGTGAAAGATCAGTATTTCGTCCTGTCTTTGATGAGCTGTGATTCACTTGTTCTGTGCTCATCCTCGCTCCTTCTCCACTGTTTCTTTGGAAACATATGGGAAGCACCTCATTACAATGGACATTCCCCCTCCAGAGGAAAAGTTTCATGAACACTGCCGCGGCAAGATGGTGAAGAACTGTCTGAGCGTAGCAGGAAACTACATGCCAAACAGGCCATGTCACATCTTTGGCAGCTGTAATCGGTGAGGATTTACCTTGACTCCGCAGCGCCTGTGGCTGGGACACCACGCACGATGGGGACCAGAGTCAGTGTGCCCCCGCCAAGAGACTTGCTGACCTTCGCAGACCTCTGGAGGAGGGAACCATAGAACCTGTGAGAAAGACAGGGCATTTAAATACATTCGCCGCATTGTGACGAACACCACCATAGAGGCCCGCAGGAGTGAAAATCATGTTTGGCTGCCAGAGTTGCCAATACCTGGTGACAAACTTTGCCCATGGAAGCCAGAAAATGCTGCCCATGGAACAAGTGAGTAGAGTCTGGAGCAGCGAATCGGCAAGGGGCAAGTTGCAGTGCTGGGGCAATCACCACTGACTGCGATGCTCCAATTTGCATTGTAGGTGCCTAAACTGCACTGAAAAGGCACATGCCAGACTCACACACACACACACACACACACTGCTGTGCTTAAGGGCTGCGTTGGCCATGGCTTGGCTGCAAAGGTGCAGAAATTATTGTATAGAGTGCAAACTCATTCCATTCATTGCAGAAAAGTGGCAACACACTGCACATGCCCCGAACTTTATGTCAGCATGTTAAGTGTGCAAGCATATTTCATTCCTGCTGACCTCAGGCACAGCAACAACACTGCTTGGGAAAGGGTCTGGAAACCTCACTGTGGAGGTGCGGCGCCTGTAGTGCGACCTGTGTTGTCTCCTGGTCATTGGTCGTAGCTCAAAATGGACAAACAACAAGGTGCCCTCAACTGTCACAGTGGCAACATGGCACATTTGTGCAGCTGATGGTCGGTTTTCATAGCCTGAACCCGCCCTAGTCTGGACCCTTCTTTGCTGACAAGGCTGCCTCACTGCAATTCTGTGCATCACTTCTGTTCTTTCTGGACCTTGGTTCTATTTGTGAACATTTCAACACTTTGCTAACAGGTCTGTTCTTCAACAGCCCAAACGACATGAACGACAGGGGCAACCTTCAATGAGCATGATCACAGCTTTGTCCCAGTTCGGAAGGCAGGCTCAGGGAAAAGCACTTGTAGGGCAAAACACCACTGAGAAGTACGAAAACAGCATATGGGGACAGAATTGCTCTTTGACTGACCCATGTGCAATCAGCCTGACCTGCAGGTTGGCTACCTGGAGCTCTGCAATACGCACAACCTCTTTTCATATGACAACATTTTGTCAAATAAGGCAAAAACTGTTCTCCATCCACCTCAAGAATAGCAATGTTGAGCAGCATGCCTCACAGCCCCAGGGGCTGTGCTTTGCAACATGTCTGACCAGCGTACTGGGCAAAGATTCCTGCAATATGAGCACTGTCAATGGTTCTACCCATATCTATTGCATTCTTGCAGCCCTCTGTTCCTTCTGCCTCCCCTATTACATACCACAATTCCACAAGCTCTCACCTCCTCCTTTGCGCCGCTGTGGCTGACACCAACATTCCCTCATACTCAACAAGATCGAAGGACTGGTCTGCAGCTTCATCTCCAAATGCGCTTCCCTTCTGTCTCTTGTAATCGTCGGCGATTATCGAGGGAGCCCGCTCACCTACCTGCAACCAGCCCAAACAAAGGTCAACCAGCCAGTCAGCAAGTCAGCCAGTCATTCAATCCACTCTCCAACAATGCAAGGAAACAAATGATTCTTAAGTGGGGATTTCGACTGCCATCATCTTTACCAATGACAATGACGCCAAAGACGTTTGGAGGTCCTTGCGGCACAGCACATCCTGCCAGCTTGGACAGCGGCACTCATGCTGATCCATATTTCGGACAACCTGCAATCAGACCTCTGATTCCTGATTCCTGATTCCTGTGCCTGACATTGCCTCATGGGTGTGAAGGCTGTGGTTTTCAATTCTTGGGCAAATGGCAAGCAATTGATGGGCCAAAGATGGGGCCAGTGCCCACCTGGGTCAGAGTCTTGTGTACCAACATCCACAGCTCGATCATCGGCTCCAGCGTGTCCAGAATGACAAGGGCATGGCCACCTGCATCGCGAACCTGTTCTGTAGCAAAGGCGTGCATCGACAGTCATCAGTTCATCCAGCCTTTGTTCCCAACGTCGATTCTGCAGTCACCAATTATTGCATCACGATACTGCTTCTCTCAGTAGCTCAGCTTTCAACTGTTCATTTATTACTTGTTTCACCCACTCAGTGTTCACTTACTGCTCACTGACAAACAATGAACTGCCCATACCACAGGGCCGCCGTCTTCAGTGTGCACCCCACTAATCTCCATCAAAAACTTGTTCTTTAGCAACAGAGTGTAAACAGTCATCAGGTCTTTAGCTTCCCGGAAATAATCTTTGGAACTCTGGAACTCTAAGTTCTTTGTGCAGCTGTCAAGATGTTGGCAAACACTGCCTTTGGTGCACTTATCATCTCAATGGGCAATGTCGATTTCATCGGCCAGGGCGGAGGGCTGGAGCCTGGACTCCTTGCTGAAATGTATTGCCACATTGAGTCCTACATAATGTACTGTGAGCTTAAACAAATGATGCTGCAACACCTTTGACCATCTACTCAGCACGAGCGCTTCTTGAAGACCAAAAACCATTGACAGCAATGGCCTTTGTCGTGCCCAGCAGGCACCTGGACATGTTTGTTCCGCTATGGATCAAATGCACACCAAGGCACTACACACAACTGGCCACTGCGATACCACCATCCGACGCATCAGCAATGCGCATGGCTGGCACTGGTTCCGCACATATTCATCTCCATGTCGTGATGCCTTGGTTTTCAGTTTAAAGACTGCAGATAAACAATTAAGGCAGCAGTCGGTGGAAAACAGATGGTTTTCCTGGTGCCATGCCAGAAACTCGGGAAATTGAAATGCACAACAAAATCAGAAAACCCCCACACGTTTTGATCGCCACGCCCGAAAGCCAAAAGCAGCAAATTCGACCCAAACACCACTCACCCGCAATGGAGCACGCAGCACAGGCTGTGGCATACTGCTCCGCGAGGCAGGCACCATCTGTCGCGGCCACCACTGTGGTATACTCCATCGCCCCATGGTCCTTCAACTCCCCCACCGCCCACTGCAGCTCCTCTTCGGAGCGCCCCACCGCCGCATACACGCACGCCACGTCAGTGCCCGCCTGCCCCAGGATGATGTCCACAGCGAGTGAGGAGTGGCCCGAGCCAGATGTGCCCATCAGCAGGATGCACTGGCCGCGGCCCACGGGCGTGAGGGCGTCCACAGCCTGAGGCAGGTAAAGTCAGTGGGGTCAACAAGGCCGATCGGCTTAGCGGGGTCAATGCACTGAATGCAAGTTTCGAACTGCTGAAGGATACATACTGGGGTTACCCAGAATGTAGCCCCCAGAATACATAATATTCTATATTACATAGAATATTAATTCTATTGTCCAACTGGTTGCTGTTGTCCACCTGTATGTGCACTTGGACACTGCTTGTGCGCATCTTGAATGTGTCACCATGAATGGACTGGGATCGTGAAATTGTGTTTGTGTCCGGGAGGGGAGGGGTCTGTGTAATCTGAAGCTGTGTGCTATGTAACGAGCACGGTGGGATGGAAGACCCGTGACGCCAAATCGCAAGTGCCAGGTGGCGCAGAACTCGCTGGTCATTTTGTTTGTTCGCTGTTTTCGTTACACTCATCGAAAGGAGAAATTTTCTATCACCTGCAACGCGATGATGGACACAGCAGCATCCAAGACATCTTCCAATCGACCTCCAGTAAATCACAAACATTCACCAGTCTCCTCTGCCATTGAAGGTGGCCTAAGAATTGACAGTTGCTGCAATTAGCACGCAGGGGGACTGGTGGTGTGCAAGACAACCAGAGCAACAACAATAACGTCCAAAGGATCACCACAGATATGAAGTTGAAGAAAATACACATTCTGTAATCGTGTGTTTACACCTGAAATCGTTCAGCCGAAAATCATGCACCTCGCATTTTTAACCCACTTTGCAGGACTGCATCATGCGGCTGCAACTGCATTGTGCTGCCAATGGTTCACAGAGCAAGCTCATATGTCAATCCTCTGGTCACAACAGTCAGGGCAAATTGTCAAGACAGTCCTCTAGTAACACCATAAGCACTGTCAGGGCACGTTGAAAGCGATGTCCAGCTAGCTGTCTCTGTTCAGAACGTCCGTAAATCTGCGTAACAGTAGTGTGAGGCCAAAGTCCCCTGGTGGGAAAGATGGATGCTACTCATCAAATGCACAGTCCGAACAAATGGTGTGTTCCCTGCCATGATGGTGCCCTATCAGAAGTCCTTTTGCATGTTACAAAGGTGCTTTAGAACCAGCAATTCACCTGAATAGGATGACAAACTTCAAGATGGGCTGCCTGCCAAGGTGCCATTCAGCTATGCCACAGTACTCAAGAATGCGGCTGGCATCCCCCAGCTGTCATCTCTGTGAGCTTCAAGACAAACCACAGCACCAGCGAGCAATGCAGCAAGACGGCAGAAAGGAAAGGCATACAGCACTGCCCAGAAGGTTTCTAAGGACCGTCCCATTGGCCTGCGATTCTGTGATGAGGCTCCCATATCAAAGACCATTGTCACAAGAGCGCAAGTGCCTGCCAACATATGCCACCCCAATCTCCCCTGCATCCACAAAGCGCACTCTCATGATTCCGTTTGCCCCTTTTCAGTCCCCCTTGTCTTTTCCCAGAGGCCCCAGCACACCATCCATTTGCTCATCGCACAGCAGAATAACATGCCATCTGCAAGGCGATGCATGCCAGCTTGCTAAGCTTTGCTACAGTCGTGTGTCAATTTGCAAAAATCTGTTACATTTGATTCGATTTGCCTCCAAAAGATGATGTAGAATTCTTGCACCACTTTGCACAGTTCCAGACATGCTCCCCAATTGGATAGATTACCAAGACATGACAAATTTCAGTTCTTGGCCCCTGCTGGATGATGCCGGTTGTACATCATTGAATTCTTCCAGCTGTCAACAACATCTGTATTGAACAGGGCAACCTGCCCCGCTGCGTTTTCCATGAACTCAACAAAGACCACCTCCATGACCACTGTCTTCTCGATGCCTGGTGCTCACAAATTGCCCATCACACGCACTGTGCCTTTGTCACCATCTCCCCGTTGCGGCCCATCATTCCTTTCCACATGAGATCAAGCTATGTCCAACAGCAGCCTCCTCATGCCAACTACCATGAAAACCATGGGGCATATGCTGCCCTCCATGCCTGCAATGCGCTGACGTCACTGCGTGGCTCCTGTGACTGCCTGCTTTGTGCCATCTCAGCCGATAGACCCCCTTGAGGTTATCGTTCCTGGCATCTCGCACTGCAGTTCGCACAAAATCTCATACATTTGAGGACGAACTGCTCTTCCTTGCGTGCAGGCAATGGGCACACATCTCCTGCAATAGGTTTATCAGCATGGTGGCGACCCCTGACCCTGCGACGTTCTGCAATGCCCCGAAATCAGCCCAATCAATGAACCAAAGAAACACAGAAAAACACAAGAAGAAAAAAAAGCCAAATAATGAACGAATTCCAGGCAGTCGGCTCCTAAATGTCCACCACCACATACACCTCCGACCGCTCCCCCCCCTCCAGGATCCGCATCGCGCTGTACGTCACCGCCTTCACCTCCGTCCCGCAGGCGTGCCTCCTCCGATCGAACACCACCCCCGCCCCCCGCGCCCTCGCCCGCCAACCTCCCCGATCAAACTCCAACACCTCCACCCTCGTCACCGCCAGCATCCTCAGGTGGAACACGGCCAAGAACTCATCGAGAAACGAAAACAGCAACGATTCGGCGTCATGGCCGTTCGCCTCAATCTCGCACACCTCCTCCTCCCCGTCTAGGCCCTCGAACGGCGCCATGTAGTTGAACATCCCCAGGGCGGCGCCGCAGAAGGCCGACATCACGTTCGGGCCCCACGCATGGATCTGAACGTCCGCGGTGTGGTCCAGGTACTCAAAGCACCCCGTGCCCGCCGCCGACGCCAGACACCCCTCGCCCCTATGCTCATCCCCTTCCACCCCCTCCCCCACCGCCACCTTTCCGTCATCAACGCGGTCGGCCACCTCCTCTTCGCACAAATCCTTCACTTCGAATTGTCTTCCCTTCGAATGAATCTCTCCCTCCCGCCGATCGCCACCCAAGCCGGCATCGACCCCCACCCCCGCCCCCGGTTCGACGCGATCCGCCCCAGCATCTTCGATGTCCAAATCGCCCGGGCGCTGAGCCGATCGGCCCACCGATCGCCCGCCCGAGCTCTGGCCGTTGCGCCGGCTGCGCAGCTTGCCCCTGTCCCGCCGCTGCGGCAGGCCCTCCGCCAGGAGGCTCTCTATAGAGTCCATTGCAACGGGTGACCAGAGGGTCAGGGGGGGCAGCGGTTTCGTTGACCTTTCGCGGGTCAGTGGGCACGCGGCCGGGTGTACGTACCTCGAACATCAGAGCCGAACTACTAAACCAGCAAACAACTCCTATTAGCAGTTTAGCAGTTCAGTAGTTTTCGCAGTTCTTTTGGGATAGTTGTGCATTTCGACCCTCAGTACCTAACCACCACACTATTGAACTGCTGTCAGCAGTTGTGTAGTTTAGGCAGTTTGTACACAGTCTGACGGGTTCTTGTCTTCTAAAGAGACACTAGCAGAAAATGGCATGTTTGCGATGCCAACTGCGATGCCATTTTGACACAAAGTGATGCCGTCACAGTGATTGCGACGGCATAAAAGCGGCTGCGATGGCGTCAGTTTGCGTCAAATAGCGTCACAACTGGCATCGCAAAAAGGCTGTTTTCTACTGGTGAGAATGGAAGGGCCGTTTTGCTGGTGTCTGGTTATCTGGTGTTTGGCATTCGGCGAAGGACCGAAGGTCGGCACTCTTTTGGAGAGCGCCAGAAGTTTTGGAACGGCGCCCTGGACAACGCCCAAGAGCAAACACGCTTGGAACAAAGCGATGCCAACACAATCTGACACGCATCGACAATGCCAGAATGGCAGGCAGGCTGGCGCTCTCGTCGCATCTAGAGCTTGGATTGATTTGGATTCCAAACCGCGCTTCCAGCAGCGGCGTCGTGGAACGGAGCGGGATGCCCACGGCAAACTGCGTTGCGCTCAAGTCGCTCAACCTCACCAATTTGAGGTCCATTCAACAAGTCCGAAAATCAATTCAATATCACACATACACAGGTTGAATTCATAATGTAGGCAGATACCACACAAATGCATTCAATTCAGCACTTGCACAGATTGGCATTCAGCAACGGCCCAACTCACCTTGTTCCCAGTGAAAAATGGCTCGCAGATTGGCTCCCTGGACTGCATGTCCAGCTGGTCATTCAGCAAGGGCACCCTGTTGCTGGATGGCACCACTTCGCCAGTCCCCCTGGCACGGCCCCTGAAGTCCACGACGTTGCCGATGAGGCCCCGGCCCACGGGCACGCTCAAGATGTCATACTCCCGCTTCGTCGCAGCCCCCGAGGACTCGTCCACCAGCTGGCAAGGCAGATTGGCAGGTGGATGCTCAGATCCCGACAAACCAATGTGATGCAATACTTTGGAGTGAAAAGAAAAAGGAAAAGAAAAAGAATCCTTAAAGAGCTCTCGCTTGAGTTCAAACGCTGGGATGAACAGCTGCAGGAGTTGGTGTCGTTGGTTGCAGCACAGCGACAACTGTGCTGGCAGAGTCCTGCTCCAGCAGTACTTTGCTTTCACACTGACATAAATTCTATTGTCATTAACGCCAGTATCAATATAATGTGCAATTAATCAACATGCATCAAAATAAATCGTGGTCATTTTGGTCGCCAGCCTGGGACACACTGGCCCTTACCATGCCTAATCTGCAACCAATCTGATCAACACCAATGAGCAGTCGCTCGAACACCATTCAGTGCCACTGGCGGGTCGCTCTGATACTTTAGCAGTAGTTTTACAATCAACTGAGTTGGCATACAACGAACACTGCAATCGGCAAATGAACGACAATCAACAAAACTGGCAGACAACAGTGCAGCCGCCTGCAACAAAGTCCACTTCCTCTTGTCCTGACTATGATGCAGCATTCCTTGGAAGCAAAGAAAGAAGATGACCAAAAGGTCCAACAACTCCTTGCCATACAGAAGGTGTAATTCGGTGTTGTTCGAATCCATGCATGTGTTCCAAGCAAGTCCCGCATCGCCCACCTGTATGATTCCCTTTAAGTTGCATTTCACCTCCTCTCCAATGGTCACAGGCTTCCTGTCCAGTATGAGTGCGAAGCAGATGCTGTCACTCCTCCGCCAAGCGAGCACCCTGCACAATGGCATGGTAATGTTGACCGGGATGCAGAGTGGAAACACGAATTGACTCGTCGCTTTCCTCAAACACGTGGAGGTTGGGATGGTCCATTGTTGGACAGGATTGACATCCAACATTGAACGATAAAAAAACTGCGCACATCGCCATGCAATAGAATTGGTATCATTCTGGCAATCGTGGCACCGAAATTGAGCTTTGAACAAAAGCTCACATCGCTGTGCATGAGAACAGGTACAAATCAAAAACTGTCAAACAGCTCGCTGGATGGCACCAGCAGAGCATGTTCTTCCAAACCCACCAAGGAAACGAAGCACCCCAATCAACACTCCTTTTCAAGTGGTGCTTGATAAAGCCAGTCCAATCCACACCAATTGCTTCAACTCACCCACGCACTGTCAAGATGCATGGCTACCGTGAACAGGCTTGACCCTCGAGTGACAATGAAAGTAACAAAGGGCAAAGTTGGGGCCTTTTGAACAGATTCTGTATGATAGCCCTCTGTCCCTCCCCAGAAATACACAACAAGCAAGGCCAGAGCTTCCTAGAGCCCAAAGGAGGCTGGATCTATGGGCAAAAGTTCTCAAGAAGAAACATGACAAACACAACCCATGCAACTTGAAGGCCTTGACTGGCACAGAAGCATTCAGTCAACTTTTGCTCAGTGTCCGAGCTTGTACAGTGTGTACAGGGATGGACCACAAAGGTCAGTTGCCTTCCATTTTTGAACAAGGCACTACATGTGGACTTACGCACCCAGCGGCACCATCTGCAAAGGCGAGGGTCGTCCCATTGGGAGCATCGTTGTTGAGACCCTCCACGATTGCCACACCATCTTGGCAGGCCAGCACCTTAGGTAGACAACCACATGTCACCGATTAGATTTCGATTGTCAAGGATCATTTTGTCTTGTTCCTCCCTTAGTTTAAGCCATTCAGTCCAATTTCTAACTGCTTCCATGCTTTGATTGTGTGCAGCCAAAGATGTTGCTGTATTGAAATCCCAGCAGGGAACCACACTGCTGCATGAGTCAGGCACTGGTGGCCCCTTTTTCACCCCCTCTTGCCCATTTTCAATAATTGGTAATCAAAATGCTCATAGTCTAACTGGGACGTCACAGCTGCATTCTCGAATAGCGTGGTGTATTTTGTAACACTTGAAGAGCTGCAGCTTGAAGAGTATTTGAAACCTTGAAGAGCTGCAGGCCACCAAACTAAAACTGCAAAACAAAATCGCTTATCTCGATGATTCTCGCAGAAACAGCAAACTTGTTTTGCCATGGCATCCTGTCCAAAGCAACAGCACTTTGATATGTATGTTCAAAAAGTGGAACAGTATGCAGATACCTCCCACTGCACTGGAAACAGCGCAAGTAAAAGGGGATAGCGTTTGGCAACAATGTGTGTCCCTCTGTGGGTGACCTCTGGTTAGTGGCATTTGGAAATGAACAGTGGCCTGGACAGTCCAGACCTTGCGATTGTGACTTTCCCACAACCTAAATAATGTCTAATGGATAGTGTTGTAGAAGAGCTGCAGGAATGTACCTGCATTCTCCAGTTGAGAACCCCACGTGCAACACCCCACCAGTGCCTTCTCCTCTGTCTCGCTAGTGAGCCATGATTGCTAACACATTGCTGCCAACCGTCTTTCCAAGCCCATGCAACCGCACTGACCACACATGCCATGATCACTCCATAATTGTCGAGGGCTGCCGACCGCAATGACCGTCCATCCCCTGTTGCCCCAGCACAATCCCCCCAACAAAACTGAAACACTTGCCTCACTATCCCTTTGTCTGTCAGCAAAACCCATTTCCAGTTGAATGTGAAGCAAAGACCTCCAGGCGCACAGCGCCAAAAGCGCACCAAGCGAAGGCTCATGGACCACCTGTCGGCCCCTTTCCCCCATAGCCACGTGCATGTCTTTCTCTTCTTGGTGCTTGTGTCGTTTTGTCCTCTTCTTGCACAAGAGACTCAACACCATCTTTCTACAGTGTCAAGAAGAGTCTCAGGAAAACCTGCTGAGGAGCGGCGGTGCCCTCTGCCTGACTCCTTTCTCTTACGAAGCGCGCAACAAATGCGCAACCACTGTGCAGCAAATCTCGCCGCTCAGGTAAGCGCACCCACCTCCCCCACGTCCACCTTGCTCTCCTCGATCTGTCGCAGCGTGGCCAGCTGGTTGGGCTTCAGCGTCCGCTTCCGGAACGCCCTCATCTCCTCCTCCCAATCCGTCCCACCATTCCCGGCACCGCACTTTCCTCCGGGCACCCTGGACGCCCCGCCACAGCCTCCCAGCCTCTTGCCCAGCCTTGGGGCGCATCCGCGCCGATGCTCTTCGGCAAATCTTCCGCCACCCTGCCTCGCGGCCGACGATCTGATCGCCGGCAGAGCCGGTTCGGCGCATGGCCGCACCCGATGAAGCGCATCCGGGCGCTCCATGGCGCGGCAAAGGCCGCGAGGCGCGACAGAGGATGCGCACAGATCGCGGGAATTCGCGCCCACGGGACGGGGCGAGAACGCGGCCTGGGCGGAGGGGGGGATCGGGCCGGGGCAGGCGAACCGGCGGGGAGGAGGGCCTGGACGATTCAGGGGCAAAAAGCGTCGAAGGTGTGCAAAAGAACTGGCTGTCGAAAAGCAAAATTCGATGCGGTGCGCGGCAGCCGCGCGGGCTGTCGGACACGCGTTTGCTGTCGCAAAGGCGCAACAAAGGCGAAACGGGTGGGTGGTGGGGTGTGGGGCTTGGGGCCCCCGTGTGTGGGGTGTGGGGCAAGGTGGGGGTGGCGGGGGGGGGTTGTAAGTGGGCGTTCGTTGAGCCGCGAGTTTGACCGATGCGCGGACCGGTTGCATGGCCGTGAATAGGCGTCGTTGCTGGCCAGTAGCCGGGGTGATCTGGCAGCCGCACTGGGAGTGTTTCTGTGCGCCTTCCTGAATGTCGGGGAGGGGGGGGGGGCATTAGTCGCTTTGTTTTTTCCGTGAAGATCCCTTATTGTTTCGGACACTCTAGAGCCTGAACCAACCGCTGACCCACTGACCGGCGTTGGCCTTGTCAGCGGAAGAATAAGGGACCCCAATGGAAAAGACAGGGGGGACTAATAATCTCTCATGCCGGAGTGTCCTGCAATATTAAAGGCACAGTTGGCGTGAATGTCATTGCCAGAAATGTGCATATTTACTTGACAGAATACGCAGGGTTAGCATTTCCGGTCTTGCCTTGGGCTTTTTGTGCGGAACGGCAAGAATATTAGGATGGCACTTGTGCGAAAAATGCAGAAGGGAAAAACGTTGGAAAGCACCACCGGGAATTCTCCTTCGTGTGTACCAACAGCGCCTAAAATAAACGGTTCAACCCTTGCACATCAGAAAATTTACCGTTACCACCATTTTTCTTTCAGAGCGCTATTTATTTTATTGTTTTCTCCGTAAAAGAGGATCAAGGGTTGCGTTAATGTGCAGAAGGGTTGAATATGCTATACAAAGAATATATGTGCACATATTCAGGCAGTATACTGCCTGTGGCCTAGCTCGGGTCCTGTCAAGGGAGCGTGTGAGTGGGCCCAGGTGGGCCGCCTCCTTGTTAGGAGGCAGCTGACCGCCTTTTGAACATCGCCACCATTTTCCTGTTGACCAGTCATCGGGTCTCCACGCTGCGCCCCCCCGTCGCCGCTCGCGGCTGGCCGACCCAACCCATCACTTGCGCTCCACCGCAAGCGATTTTCTTTTTGATTTTTCCCTTTTCCTGCTCCTTCATCTCTCTTTCGGTTTCCTCACTTGTTGGTCGCTCTTGCCCCTCCAGCATCCGATGGCTGGCTTCTGGCACCCAGCTGCCACCAGTAGAAAACAGCATGCTTGCGATGCCAATTTAACACAAATTGATGCCATCGCAGCCACTTTTTATGCCATCGCAATCACTGTGATGGCATCATTTTGTGTCAAATTGGCATCGCCGTTTGCATCACAAACATGGCGTTTTCTACCAGTGTGCGATCCGTTACAATAGGTTTCGATAAGACAACAGCGGTGCACTTGCACGTTGTAAGTGATGACGGGCAAGTAAACAGCTGGCATCCACCATCTTCTGGCTCATAACCAGGCTTGGTAATTGCGTTTACTTTTTTGCGTTCACGTTTTTATGCGCAAAAACGTAAATTTGCGAAAGGGGCTATTTTTACGCGTATTTTTACGTTTTTGAGGCTCATTTGGATAACCAGATTGCACGATGAAAGTCGCGCAAAATGATTACTCGTAGGGCATCTCCAGCACCCGCAGCACAGGGCCCACTCATCCTTGGAAAGGGCAACGACGGCATGGAACAAAAGCTCGTTTTCTACCCAATCCAGCGCAACTAACTGCCATTCTCTGGACTCCCAACGTCTGTATGTGCTATCTTTATGTACACGGGGGTGTATTCGCGTTGCATTTACGTGCTTTTTCGCACATTTACTCGTAGAAACGCAAAAACTATCTTTCCGCGTGAAAACGTGAATACGATTTGTATTTTCGGCGTACAAACCAAGCCTGTTCACGAATATTGACAGAATGTTCCAGCTGCCAGCCGTGGCGTGCTCTTTCAAATACATAGCTTCTTCTGCTCACCTTGGTTTTGTAAACATGGAGCCACCTCAGCCCCTTCGTTCCCCCGTGCCGCTCCCCTTCCTACCGGGTGGAATGTCCTTTTGCTCTCACACCAACCCTAGGGCCACAAGACAGCCGTGTCTTGTAACGGGGAACTACTTGACTTGCAAATGCACAGGCGCACAAGGAAAGCCAGAGGACGAGGACCAGTTGATTGATAGTACATTTTGTTGATGTCGAAGCGCGCAACAGCATTGAGTCCGTGCGCGCTGTGCAAGTTTTGACTTCCAGCCTGTTCTTTTTTGGTGCTTCTGTGTGATTGTGGCGACTGTTTTACAGCAATCGACCGCATGCGCTTGTTTGCAAGCGATGATAGTTTCGAAATGAAATTAGTTTGGACTTGCACCTTCGCAGAAGTCTCGGCGGCGCCGTGGCTGGGAAGCACTGCTTGCATTGCAAGCCCATTGTCTTCGGCGCCGAGGTTGCGTTGGCACATTCGAACTTTCCCGTTGATGACGCAATTTGATCCCACGTGCATGTTGCACAAATGCACTCTTGGCAGCGGTTAACGCTGTTCAAACGCGGGCAGAAACTATGTGAAATGTTCGCACCATTGGTGTTCATGGCGTTGTACGGGAAAGGCACACAACACCTTAACCGTCCAATCCCCCAGACCCACCCGCACCCCCTTGGAATGATGGGCAGCCATAGAGATGGAAAGATGTCAAACAATGGTACTTGGGGCCATGGCTTTGGGATAGATCACCCATCATAAATGTGGGTGACATGCACTGTTGAAAAATGGCTGCCGAAACATGGTCAAGACAACAAGGCCTTGTCCCACCGTCACACAATTTAAAAAAGTAAAAAGCTGCATAAATAGCCAATGAAAAATGGCCAATATTTTGCCAGCGATGTCAAGCGGGACGTGAAGAAAGAATTAGACGACATAACTTGTGACGTTATGTACCTGTGTGCTGGACATTTTCTTCCAGAACACATCGATATTGTGATGCCAATTCACAATAATTGATATCGCAATGGCTACTTTGATGCTATCTTAATCACTGTGGTGGGCCCAACTAGTGTCGGGTGGGATCGCAGTTTGCGCCTCAAGAATGTTGCCTTCTGTTAATGTTCGGGATGTCGAACTGGGCCCCGCGGGGAATACCTCCGCTCTCTTTGGTGGCTGGCCTGGGAGCCGCGATGGGCTGCCTGTGCATTCGCATATCATATCACGTGATTTGCACATGACATGATGTGGACAGCCTGCTGGCGCGGTTATAACCGTCACGGGTCGTAATTACGACCCTTGACGAGCAATCACGTCTGTTGAAGAAAAAACTCTCGTTGACCACACAGCGAGAACAGTCGACGACAAAGCATGCTGACACCGTGCACTCCATCCTACCTTGTGCTTGATCATTGAGTGTGGCCGATTCCCAACAGCCAGTCTAGACTGGTTGTCGCATTCGATCTAATACTTGCGGTGACATGCGCTGCCAACTTTGGTCAAGCCGACAAAATAGGCCTCGCTCCCCCGACTCCGTGTCTTCTGATCATCTGAAGTACAGGTAATGTCTATTATCATAACGCCCGTGCTCATCACCTATGTGGGAATGGGAATGCCCTATTCATGCGTAGTTGCGATTGCACTATCAGAAAACATCATGTCTGCGATGCCAACTGCGACTCCATTTTGACACGAGGTGGCACCATCGCAATGATTGCGATGGCACCAAAATTTGTCAAACGGCATCGCAGTTGGCATCTGTTGAAGTATAGCATAATGAATCGCGGTTGATTTCATCTATGCTCTGTTCATACTTCATTTCTGCTATGTGCGCTTCGTCCAAGAGTTGATTTGATGGCTGAAGGATTGTCGGGTCGGCCAGCTGTCATTGGCAACGGCATTGGATGAGCTGGCGGAAGGACAGCTGTGGGTTGAATCAAGAGTAGTGACAGCTGTTGTGCTTGACAAGCACGTTGGATTATGCGATAGAAGTGCGGCTGTCGGGTTGAATCACGAGTGGACTGACAGCTGGAATGTGTGAAACGATCGATGGGAATGTACGATGTGTGGTTGCGCGTGCTGGCACGTAACGGTATCCAGATATTCCCGCCGAGCAAGGCCGGCAGCCCTGTAATCCGCCCTGGCGCAAATCGTAGGCCCTGACGCCCAAGGCGGCTTCCGCAGAGGGCTGCGCTGGCAGGATATTACCAGCAAGCGTGAACGGAAACGCTCCTGACACGCCGGCGCCTTACTAAGGCGCGCGGTGATGGGTCGACACGCCCCGTGAGGGCTGTGCGATCGCGGGCGGAGGACCCCGTGCACCGGCGAGGGCGTTGGCGCGACGTGGGCTGACGGGGAGCGACGGGAGGCGAAAGGGAGGGCGCATTACGTGGTGCGTCGAAGGAATCCCGAACCGTGGATGGGACTGCTGCAAGGCGGAGGTACGGCAGGTTCCGGCAGCGAGCGCGGGCTGCGAACGAAGGCCGAAGGGGGGCGATTTGCGGTCGCCGCTTCTCTGGCTGACTCCGGAGAGGAATCGCCCGTCATTCTGCGCATGATGAGGCGTTCCTTCAACATGGTTTTGGAGCTACGTTGGGCTTCATGGAGATCATTTGAATCATGAATCTGATGAATCTGAATATGAAGATGGCAGCAATGAACGATGATGATCAAAGGCTGCTCTATAATATGGAATTTAAAGGGGGATTCTTCTTTTTTTTATGCATCAGAACCTTTGTGGTTGACATTGGGCGATTGACTCTGGGAAAGCGCGGCCACTACCGGAGCCCCTCATCCCGCTCGATTTTTAGTATTGAGTAAGGGAGGCTCTCCGGGTAGGGTAAGTGTAGCGGCC